AGACCGAATGGGCTATTGACTCACAGAGCAAGAGGACGAGAGGTCTCATTTTAAGTCTAAAACTACTAATCAGTTAAAAAAAGTATAGAAAAGTTTTCGAAAGAAGGCTGAAAACGTGAGTTAATTAAAGGTGGAAATTTTCGCTTCTAGTGTTCTATCACTAATAGACTATTAGTAGCTCAACGAATCATAATCAAAGCAAAATTTGTGATAAGCCATCAGCAGGCTTAGACTAATAAACGATAGCACCTCTGAGATGAGCGTTTTTGTTAAGAGACTGTTTTTCATCTCATTCTTTAGACTTTGCACTTGTTTGTACCTTGTCGTGGCATCAATCTTGAGAAATGCAATAACATTCTTTTCTTTCTTCTCCTTTACATAACTAACGCTCATGTTGATTGGCGATGAGCTGTTGATTGACATCCAAAGACACATGGTCATTTCTCCCAGCGTTTTCCTTATCTCCACATTGACAGAGTGATTTTTATGGCCGAGCGAGAAACCAATGTCYGACTCATAATCCTGGGTTAAGTTGTCACCTGAATAAAAACAGCATGAAATGCACTGAGATATGTATTACTGGAGTCTCTTTGCTTGTGTGTTAAATGTTATTGGGCTCCCTGTGTACGAACTGTGTACGGCTCTTCATTTAATTTTAATTTTAATTTAAAAAATGCTATAAAATAACATGTGYATCATTGTGTTTCTTGTGTTGAGACTTGAAACCAAATGTAATAGATTTTTATCCAATGTTCAAGTCAAAATTAGTTATCGCATCAGATAGGGTAAAATTTAATAATTCGGATCCATATTAAGAAACATTAACAAATTGACATGTGTCTGTCCTCTTACTGCCGATAAGTTCCGTCATCACATTATCAACGTAGTGTGTATCTACAAAGGCATAGCCGAGTGGATCCACAGTACTTCGACAATGTGATGACGAAATTTACCTTCAGTAAAAGGACCGACATAAAAAAACTGATGTCTATTTGTTTTTTTACAATAACAAAAACTTCAACTAAAACGATAACAACTTCTCGTCTTTGGTGATCAAAACMACCAACGGAAAAAGCGCGCCCTCGTTGTCGTCAGCTTAATAGTCCGTCCGTTTTTTTACTTAATTATRAAAAAAGCCAACCAGCGCGCAAAATAGTTTAAAGTTATGTAAACAAGGCTCTTTCTCCGTCATCAGCTAATCAGAAATAGTGACTGTGACATTCATTCGTTATAATTCTAATATTCTACCCCATATTCCAAAAAGATATACCCTTTACACATTTATTTGAATTTATTACGAAGTAACCAATAACAAGACCTACCTTCTGATCTTGTCGACGCCTTTATAGTATTTGCAACCTTTTCATAGTAGTTTTCATCCAGTACTTCCCATTGCACTTTTACATCACGTCCTTTTAACCAGCCATCCCATTCGTTCTGAGTGTTTGACTTAAAGCTTTCTAGATCTTAAACATAAATCTCATTAGAGGTCAACAGAAAACGAAATATTCAATATCCATCCATACATYCACTGATGATGGCAGAGGTCACTGCCGAAACATGTATGTTAAACTCAAAAGTGTAGTTCTGTTCTTAAAATATTCAATATCATTTCCGATACTGTAGCCTGCGAAGCGGCCCTCCTKTACCCTAACTTCCCAATCGGAGGAAGGCTTCGCAAGCTACGATACCGTTACTAATATTTTCAGCTCGCTCAAAAATATTCTCCTTTTCAATTCGCTCCCTTCCTCACTATATTCCCTTTTTTCTACCACATAAATAAGACTTTATCTCAACGCATTAGTTTGTATATGTAAGGTATTTAGCGCTATAGAAGTATTAAAAAAAAATATTAAAAAATTATTTAAATTAATACCTTTCCTAAAGCCATACACTTCTACACGTAGTACTTTCCATCTGTAGCCTTTCGTCGGTATGAATCTAATGAGCCTGCCAAGAGTTCGAGTATCGTTTAACGTATTCTTAACAACACCATATCGATCTTTGTTACCAGAAAATAGCTGAAGATACATACAGACAATCATTTATTACATTAAAAAAACATGTTTTATTATGTTTTAATTGTATGTTTTGATGAATGTCGAAAATACAGTGATACTACCGGTGATGATGACGACGATGATGATGATGATGATGAAGATCATGATTGTGATGATGAAGATCATGATTGTGATGATCATTATTGTGATTATGACGATGATGACAATAATGATGACGATGACAATAACCACTGCTCGAGCAGTGATTATGAGGAATTCATTTCTTAAAGTTTTTCAATGAGGTATTAATACTAAAATGCTTTTTTAAATCCCGAATTTCGTCTTTTCTCTGATATTCAGGTCTAAAATTATACCAAATCAATTCTTCGCTTCAGGCTYAGTGATATTTCACCGATAATCACTTCGCCTTCGGCGAATAATCGTCAAATAAAATGTATTATTATATGGCAAGGTAATTTCACACGCTATGATTGGTTAATTTGCGGTCCATAACTTACGGTACGGACCGAAAAATGAAATGGTTCACTAAGTGTACTGACTTATGATCTTTTAAAACATTAAAATCTTCGTTATGAAAAAATATCTATGGATGAAAATCGCCAAAAAACCTTAATAAATTAAAAAGATAACTTTATTTTACTCTAAAATCATAAGGAATCTAAAAGTCACAACATTTAATGTAAAACTTATTAAATTGTAAGCGACAATTTTTTCGATCAAGGCTCTACACGGTACTAGTTGAGTGATTTTGTATGACAAACAAAAAACTAGGTCGAACTACGAACTAATAGGTTGCGAATAGCTAAGTCAGTAAATGAAATAAAGATAGTTTTACAAGAAGAATTAATATAAATTTGTTATTTCAGTAAGCTTACAACGTCAAGTTTGAACTTATCTAATAAATCGATCGGGTGAAGATCTAGAAGCCAGTGGTTTCTTTCGTTAACGTTTGAAGCAGGTTTCTAGGCCCATCCRCTCTTGAAGTATTTCCATATTTCAGTAATATTTCATCCTCACTTGAATTTGAATGCATTTTTGGACAGGAGAGTGGGCAGTACCTTTTTAATTCTCGCACTCGGTTAATAAGAGCTATATACAAAGTAAGAATAATAAAACAACTTGTCATTAAAGATGCGAATGTTGAGACGAATCCAGGCCCCAATGATGTCGGAACCGGGAAATCTAAAGCAGATAGTTCATCTCAAAATCTAGAAATTGATACAGCAAATAACCGAAACATAAAAATCGCTCATCTGAACTTTCGCTCTTTCTAGAACCGACAGCATTTTCTCCTCGTGAACGACATAATTCTAAAGTATAAATATGATGTATTTACTGTGTCCGAAACATGCCTCAAAGATGTAGTATCCAACCTTGAACTGGAGATTCCAGGATACAACCTTTTCCGCCTAGATCCGACCAGGAAGAAAGAGGGTGGATGAGTGGGTGCATATATTTTGAAGCCTTACAAAGCTGAAGTTCTCCAAGATAATAGCAGGGTATCTGATACTGGTTTCCATCAACTTTGGATTAAAATTCAAGTCCGGAACCTTAAATCCTTTGTAGTTTGTACTATATACAGGCCACCTGATACTCCATCGATCTGTTTTGACTCAGATCTATCTCAGGGGCGGCGGAACCGGGGGGASGAAATTTTTTTGGGGGCCTGCCCCCCCCACAAAATATTGGTTCTCAGTCATAGTTTTACGGCGCATGCGTCTGCAATCMAACAAAACAGTTGTCATTATCACATAGCGTTAAATATAATATTTCAGTGCCCCCCCCCAAAGATTTTCAGCTTCCGCCGCCCCTGTATCTCCAAGTTTCATAAACGCTTCACTGTTAAACAATCCAATCTACATCCTTGGCGATGCTAATTCCAAACTACTGAATTCTCAATGAGCTGACTCTGGCGTTCTTTTGGATTTCATCAACATGTTCAATCTAACACAGCTGATTAATTCACCAACGAGGGTCACTCAAACAACTGAAACTCTAATCGATATCATATTGGCGTCAAATATAAAACAAGTCAAGGAAGCCAAGGTAATCCCTTGCTCAGTCAGCGATCACGACCTTTTTTTACGCTAAACTTCAACTTAAACAGGACAGAACTAAACCATCTTATATTTATACCAGAAGCTTCAAGACCTATAATCCCGATTCTTTCCTGACAGAAGTGGAGAAAATACCCTGGAGTTTAATGGATACATTTGATGAACTTGATGATAAACTGTTTGCCTTCAATTCCTTATTACTGGATTTCCTAGATGAACACTCAGCTTTGAGGAAGATGACAGAACAAATTTATGAACTAATGAAAACCCGAGATAAGTACCAAAAGCTTGCACGACGGASTAAAGATCCTCTTGCTTGGAATGCTTTCAAGAAMTTCAACCGAGAAGCCAAGAGAGAAATAAGAATGGAACAAAGGAGGCATGTATTGGAGTAAATATCTAGCAATAAAAACAATTAAAGTTCTCTGTGGAAAACCACTGGCACCTGTTTGTCTAAAAAATGCCAAAACCTACAGCAAAGATGATCAAACAACAGCCGAAGAGTTTAATGAGTATTTCATCAACGTTGGGAAGAACAATGTCAAGAAGATTAACGACTTGGCTGTTAAACTCAACTATGACCAATCTGGCTCTAACTTTGAACCCAAAATGTTTAACATTGAGGAACAGTTTACCTTTRGCGCAGTTAAAGAAAAAGATGTAAAATCCATTATCAAGGGTATTGCACTTAATAAAGCACCTGCATATGATAAGATACCTGTAAGGGTCATTAAGGATAGTCTACCAGCTATTCTGTCAGCTGTTACAGCCCTCATAAATTCCTACWTCGAGACTAGTGTCTTCCCAAACAAATGGAAAATCGYTGAAGTACTACCCATCCATAAGGACGGTGATCATGAATTGTCCATTAATAACAGGCCAATCTCGTTGCTTCCTTTACTGTCCAAGAGTTGTGAGAGAGCTGCCTATAACCAACTTACATCATACTTACAAACAAATGATAGACTGTCCAGCAGTGAAAGTGGATGCAGAGAGTGCCATTTTATACTGAGACCTCCGTACTATACGCTACAGATAACATCCTTCAGTCCATTGATAACAAAAAGCTGACTGMAATTGTGCTGTTGGATATGAGCAAGGCCTTTGATTCAATAAACCACGAGAGATTGTTACTAAAATTAAAACACTTTGGAGCCTCACCTGCTGCAATAACTTGGATGCTCAGTTACTTGTCAAATCGCTTCCAAGCAGTACGCATCACGTCTCTTTCCAAACTATTACAAGTGGAACATGGAGTGCMTCAAGGAAGTATTCTTGGTGGCCTCTTATTTAACATATTTATCAACGATTTACCTTAACTGTCTCAAGACTGTCTCACACAGAATTATGTAGATGATACTAAGCTAATGATCTCCTTTTGTCCAAAAGATCTATCTGATGCTACAATCAAGATCAGTGGCGACTTACAGAGGGTTCAAGATTGGTGCTTGTAGAACCAACTCCTGCTGAATCCTGATAAGACTAAACTACTCTTATTTGGGAGCCGTCAGATGCTTGCAAAAATAGATGATTTCCAAGTGTCTATCATGGGAAAGCCGCTTACTCCATCTCATGCAGCAAACGACATCGGGGTATTTCTGGACAGTAATTTGACCTTTAATGAACATATAATATATACAGCGTCATCTTACATGGCACGCTTGGGACAAATTAATAGAGTGAAACATTGTTTTGATAGACAAACGTTAATCATCTTAATTAATGCTTTAGGTTTTAGTAAATTATTTTATTGTTCGACAGTCTGGAGTAATACAACATAAACTAATCTCAATTATAAAATAACTGTTATGAATGTCGCGTTCTGATTGGTTTGGAGCGCGTGCTTTATGAGAGCACATTGCACGCGCGCGCACACTTTCCGTTGCGTCATTCCTATCTAAAATAACGGTTATTGTAATTTGTATTTTATAAAAGAAATAAAAAACTTGCTTGCTGTGCTGTGTGCCGTTATAAAGCACTTGGGGATTGGCAGAACACTCTAGAAGTGTCGWGAAGCACTCCGCTACGCGTCCAACCCCCRCGTGCTTTATGACTGCATACAGMACGCGCGCGCGTTTTCTATTTCTTCATAAGATCCAGGCTGTGCAGAATTTCACTTGTAGGATTGTTTCTGGGGCCAAGAAGTACGATCACATCACACCTTTACTAAAGAAGCTGAAGTGGTTACCAATTAGGAAACAACTTTATCTTAAGAAAGCTATTCTAGCTTTTAAGTGCATGAACGGAATGGCCCCAGGTTACTTAGGAGATTTAGGAGGTTTGTCAAAAGATCTAGCATTTCAGGCCGTCAAACTAGGAGTTCCCAGTTGTTAAATATTCCGCTCCTTAAGTCAACCACAGGTCAACGTTCATTTTATTATCAAGGAGTTAAGCTTTGGAATGATTTAAGTGATAGGCTTAAACTTTATAAAGATGTGCAGATTTTTAAGTATGCAATGCGAAAAGAGCTTTTGAATGAATTTCTTAATAATGATATAGATAATAATTAGAATTTTAGTGGTGTATATAATTTAGGCTTTTACCTATAATGTATTTGTATATTGAGTTATTTATGCTGTATCTTTAGTATTATATATTTATATTGCTTTTCTTAGGTTTAAACTCATATATATATATATGTATATATATATAGATACAGCCATTTGCAAAAATTATGGCTGCTTCCAATATATATACAAGTGTATCAAAAGCATATCAAAAATTATGGGATATCCTCCATTATAT